CACACAGCTGGGCCAACAAACCACTTGCCACAACTCTCCAAATTACCCAGCTGCCCCACGCTTGGTCCAGCTGCCCCAGTGAGCCATCCTCATTTATAATGGAGAGCATGTGACAGGCTCCAGCGTTAACACGCGGCGCTGTCACACACACACACACACACACACACACACACACTTTGAATCAGGCTTTTATCACCATGTGGATTTCGGGGCTAAATAAACAAACATGTCATGGAAACCAGATATTTTCCAGCACTGGTCACATGTGATTCATCGTCTTCTCCTCCTCAATAATCTTTAGGATTCTGCAGTGTGGTGGGGGGGGGGGAGAAAATGCAAGAACAATGGAATTTAGAATCAACCACACAATCCTCGCACAATGATGAAGGCTGCTTCCTGTGGAGCGCTGCCATGGCAACGCAGACAACAGCATCCCACCAGAGAGGATGCTGGGATTTTAATAGCAATGAATTAAGGTCAGAACCTTTGCAAGCATTGCACCACGTCGAGTCAGAACACGAGGACGCAGCCGATGGTCGCGTCAGGGACACTCTGCACGAAAATTTCTCAAATCATCAACATTGATATTTAAGACAAATTTACTCTGAAACATTTTTGAATCACTGCATCATTTAACGGTTTTCATCTAACGAGCTCCGACCGCAGCAGCAGTCACAGCATAAACAAACCATGTGTAAGAATTCCCCTCACACAAATGCTATAATGGGTCTGCAGAGTGGTCCAGGAGCAGATCCCAGCTGGCAGGACGTCCGCAGCCTTATTAAACTGGGATGTTTTACTCCGCTGCAGCGACGCCTCGGAGCAGGAGGCGGCGGGTGAACTTGAAATGAATCCAAGCAGCACTTGGATTTAATGCTGCAGCAATATAATGTAGGTTGGAATCTAAATCCAAGTCACACTGAATCGTAAATGTTGAAAAACAATTTAAAAAATGATAAGAGACGGAGCAGGTGCGTGAATGAACCAGCACAGCTATTAACTCTGGTTCTTTTTATTGGTTAATAGTTTAAATAAATCAAGAGCACAAAGTCCAGTGAGAAAAGTGAGAAGGAATATTACAGTTCTTAGAATATACTTTGTTTTTCAGTAACTTATCAATGGTATGATTTTTATTTATTTGGTTTGTTTGTTTGTCAGAAACTACAGAACAGCTTTTCATCTAATGAACGACAGACTAAGAGACGACCCGATCACAACACTCAACATATCAACAGTTAACTGAAGCCATAAATTAAAAGCTTTAGTCTGAATAGAAACATTAGCTTCAGCCTGTTTTTGATATAATGTAAAACATAAACTCTCTGAATCGTGTCCAGGATAAACTTTTGAAAAACACAAACTGTGATAAATGTTAATCTAACGTGACTTTTCTCAAACGTCATTTACAAAGAAACACATTGAATTCGCCAGATTCCTGTTTGACTCCTCAACTAACGAGCATCATGTTGGTTTTATCATCATCATCATCTTCATCATCGTCCTGCTGATGCTCTCTGCTCGTTCCAGGGTGGAGCATCAGAGGAGCTGACGGTCACTCAGCACGTTTAGAAAAAGCTAATGGCTCATTATGTGTCAGATAAGGTCAGAGCAGGAAAAATCAGGTTCCGTTTCTCATGCAGTTTGATGAAGCTAACAGGAAACACACCACCTCTGCTAACAGGGGCTTTCCACTGTCGCCATGGCAATAATGACCACGAAAAATACTCTGACCCCAAGAGAGGAGAGAGAGTGTGTGTGTGTGTGTGTGTGTGTGTGTGTGATGGAGGAAATAACCCATTCAACATGATTAAAGAATCCAAAGTGCTGATGGCCGGAGAAAGATCTTTGGGATTATGAGGTTTTGGTCTCAACTTCTATTGTCTGGACGCATTCTTTGTACGTGTGAGTGTGTGTGTGAGTGTGTGTGAGTGTGTGTGTGTGTGTGTGTTGTAGCTGGCTTGCATGTGTGTATTTGTCCTCCCCGCCCTAATGAAACAGTGATTTTCCCCGGCCACATAAAGTGAAGCAACAGTTTGGGGGCCTGCCCGTGTGAAAAAGATGGTTTTGTCCAATTTTTGTCGATAGTGAGAAAAGTTCATGAGTTTTGCGGATGTTGAAGAAAGTGGAGAGTTAAAAAAATTCACTTTCATAATGACGATCTGATGATTGTCTCTCTGGCCTTTGACCTATCAGCTCCAAAAGTTACTCATCTGGAGAAACTTTCCCAAGAAATATTCAGGACCCACACACACACACACACACACACACACACTGACTAAATTTGACAGAACAAACGCAGGAGATTCAAAATGAATTCTGCCTGAAGGAACATGAATTTCACGCCAGTCCGTCCACAAGCTGCTGAGATGTGTCTCCAAACCACAATCATCGTCCTCATGCTGCTGCACCACGACAGGACGGCAGGTCACCAACGTCTGGAGGCCGTCCACGTCCTCAAATGTTCACCACGACACATGGAGGTGATATTGATATTTTACAAAACTGAACCCAGACCAGCTGGGTAACACTGTCATCACTGAAACGAGGCTGGAAAAAACAAAGACAGCGCTGCAGAGGAAGAAAGTGTGACTCCTGGTCTCAGGACAAAGTGCAGCAGCTTCTATTGAAGTCCATACAAGTCCAATTATGAATCCAGGCCGCGGCGTCGTGCTGAGCCAGCTCTTTGAACATGTTTTAGTAGCCGAGCGAGGGACGACGACTCCTCGGCGGTTTTAATGGTGGAGCCAAGCGTGAACATCATCTGCTCAGAGATCTGCTGAGTGAGAAACGTTTTATTGAATAAAGGGGTAAATAGAGACGTGCTGGGAATTTACTGCCACACTCAGAGGACCAGACACGACCTCACACACTCACTCACGCGTCCACACGTTTATTCTTCTGCTTCAACACGATGTAAAACATGTCGCTTTCTGAGCATCAGATCATTTTCTTCCCCTGAATACTTTTCAAATTACGAGTGTTTACAACAGAATTTGTATGAGCTCTCAGGAACTGGGTGTGGGTTGAATCCATTCGCTCTTTAATCCGTGATTCACATTTTCAGTTATTTATAAAAGCGGCTCAGATTGGAACATAGAATTTCATATTTATCCTGAAACCAACATCAAAATAACTCCTTTCAGATGGTGAGGGCGAGTTAACCGACAAGTGTCTGCTGAGAACAGTCCATTCTTTTGGTGCCGTTTCAGGCGGGCAGCTTAAATGAAACCAGACAAAGAGCTCGGTGGCAGAGAGACGGATGGATCTCTGTGTTTCTGGGTGGCATTTGATGCTCTGTGAGCACTTAGCATCACATTCACTGGCACCGCTGCTGGCTGTCAGGAACACAGACACTAAAGCACTTCCAGAGGCAGCAGAGGTGAAACCAGAGACTGAAAAAAAGCAGACGTCAGAATGAGCTCAAGTAGAAATAAAGTGGGCAAGAGAACACGTCAGGTCTCACATGTTGAATCTGACACGTGTTCACACTGGCAACATGACAAAACTTAAACCCAGTGAGATTATCCTGTTCCCTGATTCGACCCAATTCTAGTTTTTATTGTTGTGTTTTAATTTAAATCTGTTTTTTTTTCGTTTTATTTATAATTTGCTGTGAGAAAATGATTGAATTTGCATTTCTAGTCCAAACAGAAGAGTCTGTGTTCAGGAGGATCCACCACGTTCATCATTTGTAGGGTCACTTTTCTACCTCTAGAGGGAGCCACATCCCAAGCTACAGGCTGTTAAATTAACACTTCTGAATTATAAATGAATGAAATTTGTCTCTGATGCCAGAATTCATTGTTTAAATGAAACTGGTTCAGTTTAATAAAAAAAAACAGACTTCACCTCAGATCCAGGTTCAGATTTCACCAGAAAACCTGGTGAATACGTTTCTTCAGTTCTGAGGTGTGAATTGTTTTTCAGTGTTTTGGCACCACACATCATTTCCTCCTCTTTTCTACCCATAATGCATTACTAATTTTACAATAACGGACATTAATGAACTGAACAATCCGAGGGTGCTGTGATTCTCTGGTCACTGGACGACTCACACGCCTGAGAGGCGAAGCATCTGGTTCATTCCCACTTCATCCCCCCCCAACATTAACAGTGATGCACGAGGAGGGAGAGAAAACAACAGAGGAGACGTGGGTCACAGAGGAAGGTGAGGAGGAAGGTGAGGAGGAAGGTGAGGAGGAAGGTGACGAGAGAGGAAAAGCTTCAGCAGCAGTTGGGGGATAAAAAAAAACACAGGAAGGGATAAAAAGAGGAGAAGCTGAGAGGTTGACGGAAAAGCACTTGTGTAGATGAGTCAGATTCATTATCTGATGAAGAACGGAGGAAGGGAGGAAGGGAGGAAGGGAGGGAGGGAGGGAGGAGGGGAGGAATCCAAGAGTCGGGGGAGAAGAAATTAGGGCGATGAGTCAGAGAGCTGGAGAGAAAGACGGTGTAAGAGTAAGCCAAGAGTGGAAGTTAAAAAAAGAACAAGACAGGAGCGTTAGGAGGGAAAAACAAGAAACAACCCATCACTCTGGCTGAGATTTCAAATCCAGAGCAGATCCACAGACTGGAGCCGGTTCAGGTGAGCAGAGGTTTGTTCAGTGTGCTGCCGTCATCACATCCAAAAAGCTGACGCATGCAGCTCTGGGAGAATCCCAATCCGAAAATTAAAATGCACGAGGGGAAAGGATGACGTTCTGTCTGCCAGACACTGACAGAGGTAAACATCTGTCCTGCTCCAGATGTTTGGCTTTAAAAAAGGGACACCTGGGGGTTTAATGGGTTTGCCAGGACGGAACGTGTCCTCACATGAACGACAACGGGGACAAACAAAAAGAGGAAATCAATGGGACAAGTTGTTTGTCTCTAAATGTGAAACCGCACCTCCCTCTGCTGGCTGCGGGCTCCGGCCCTCGCTGCGCATGTGGTGGCGCAGCTATGCAGCCAAACACGCTTCACACTGGGAGGTTTTACTGGAGGCACATTGAAACATCCTACCAGGGCAAAGTTTTACAATTGTGGCCGTTGTGGCGAACGTAGAAGTCAGGGGGAGAAAGATCCAAAGATCTTCTGGATGTTCTTCCTCACCCTGGTCGAGGACGCTGCACCATCAGAAGAGCAACACAGAGATTAATCTATTAAAACACAAACTTCAAGAGACAAACGAGCCCCTGAGCACTGACGTGTGAAAAGGACACGTCTCCCCTGATACACAAGAACTGGAGCCACAGATTCAAACACGTCAGACGTGTCTCTGGTCATTTTGAGTCTCTGGACGGCCGTTGAATTGACTTCCTGTGTCACAGTCACTTTAAACTGACCCTGAGGTTTGTGTCATTCATCCGCAGATCATGAGACAATGGACTCCACGTCTCCGACAAACGACAACAATGAAAACAGACGCAACGTCAGTCATTGTCTGTAGGACTGAGCCACAAGCGGTTGCTACTAGCAACAGAGCATGCAACGGAAACTGACATGTGGATCGTACATACAGTACACACACACACACACAGAGGTCATAGTGTCTGTATGTCATGTGAACCGACACAATCTTATTTTTACGAATAAATATAAATTCACAAGTTCATAGAAACCCCCAGAGTTCAGATTAACACACTCAGGTGTTACAGTCTCATTAGTTCTGGTGTTAGTACAGCAGCAGAATGATTCACTCTACTTGTGTAACTCTCAGTTATACTTCATTTATTCTGCAGATCGTATTCCTCCTGTCGTGTCAAGGCTGCGCAGCCTCACCAGGAAACATCCCAGTGTGTACGTCACATTGTTTTTTATCATTCGGACATTTAATCGAAGTCATATCGTGGTTTTATCTTTTATTTTAAATGCATTTATAGGTTTACGTTGAGTTAAAATGGGACGCAGCTCTGATACTGAAGTGAAGATCTGCTCTGTTGGTTTTTAACTATTACAATTTCAATTTTATTCTAACCTTTAACAGCCTTTTTCAGTGTAATGCCGATTTCCTCCATGTGGTGGGGCTGCAATCTGTGATATCACAGGTTGCTACGTGGTGAGAATGTGACGGATACAAACGTGTGAAAACATTAGAAACTGATTCGAGTCCAAAACACTTTTATGATTCTTGATTATTTCAATTCCAACGATGATTTTAATCGTTAAAATTCAAATTGATTACTTTGAGATTTTGAGATATGATTCACCCACAGGGGGCATCACACCTATGTTGTATTTATTAAGAATGGCCTTCTGACTGGTGTGTGTGTGTGTGTGTGCTTGTGTGTGTGTGTGTGTGTGTAGCAGCACCCAGTAACACATGTACTGGGTAACCTGGTGTGATATTAAGAGGTCACCGCAGTTCAATCTCCGAGCAGCTTCTCTCATTGGTCGATCGCTGTGTGCCAGCGAATGATTAGCCTTCACAGTCTCGGTCTTAGAGCGGTGGGCATAAGGTGGCCCCGGATTAGTGCTAAGTGGTTTGTGAAGATGGTGTGTGCAGCAGATTGGAGTTTAACATTGGCTCAGAGCTGATGCCACTGCAAGGATGAATATGATTGGTCGGGTTACACGTCAAGAGGCGGGGCTACGTTAGACTGACGCACGGCAAAGAAAGGTTAAAGGTGCACGATGAAACTCACGAGAGAAAATATACCAAACGCTATTCCAGTGTTCACGCAACACAAAACCAAACAGACATAATAAATACAGGTGGGTTTTTTTATCATCTGAGATAATAAATTAAATTAAATTAAATTAAATTCTCGTACGTTTTGAAACGGTCATTCATGCAACAACTCTCTTCGCACGAGGCCGTCTGACTCCGCCCCTCTCAGGATCACAACTGGCACCAGCTGCTGGACTTTTTTAACTTTCAAACCGCTGCTATAAAAAGACGACGCTCCACCGCTCCCTCTCTGGCAGAGCTACACCCAGTTAAATATAGAATTGGTTTTATTGATTTTAAAAAGTTACCGTTTGTTTACAAAGCCCGGTTCGATATTCTGAACTGAGGACGTCGTCTCTCGCTTTAAAAAACTAAAGCTTTCTTTGCCGTCTCCTCTTCCACATCAGGTCTTGTTGTTTCTTTTCCCACCATTAATAATGTTCATTTTAATTTGATGTGCTTCTTTGCTTTATCGTCCCACTGATGATTCTTACAGCTCATCAGCAGCTTCATTGTTTTTTCTTTGTGTCTTTACTGTGTTTCTATCGTTGCATTTCTTATCTTTGTATCCAGGCCTCTCTTTGCTTTGCCATGATTACTAAGCTCTTTGGCTCAGCTCCTGTTGTTTTCAGGATATCTGGTTTGGCTTGTGAATTTATTGTCCTGCACATAAAACAAATTTTAATATCGTATTCTTTGTAAAAAATTAAAGAAACGAGATAACGAGAACACGTTGAGAGGTTTTGAAAAGCTCGTAGGCAGATTATTTTTTTACCTTCAGACAGCTTCTGTTATAATGTATTTGCACAAATGGGAAACTATCCAGTTGTCTTTTTTTGTAATCTCGCTTCAAATCAAACCAACGAGCTGAAAACACGACCTCCTCGGTGAACACGACTTTATCAGCAACGCGATGAGGTCATTTCTAAATTCAGCTTCTATGAAGTACAAAGTCTGACTCCACATCAGATTTCGGGGAGTGACATTTTTTGCGTTACAGCTGTGTTGCATGTCACAGCGACTGCGAGGCTCAAACTATTGAGACGTAGAACAAAGATGAGGAGAGACTCCACTGGAGAGGCTCTACAGCACTGAATAGGAAGTTGGATGAATAGGATTTGGAGGGGTGACAAATTGAACGAGGGATTAGGTGTGTGTGTGTTTGTGTGTGTTTGTGTGTGTGTGTGTGTGTGTGTGTGTGTGTGAGCTTCATCCGTTTGTGCTGAGACACATAACCATGAAGTGTATAAGCCCACTTTAGATGATCCCCTGGAAACGTGCGTTTCAGAAGTTTGTCTATTGTTGCAGTGACGCTGCAGCGCGCTGAAGTAAAAGCAGTTATTTTCCAAAATGTGCATATATGATGTTTTATGTGATGGATTGGTTTCTCTCATTCTCTTTTTCTGTCATCTTCAATCAAACACAACATCTCAGAATCTGAAATTCACCCATTGTTGTTAAATCGTGTCTCGCTTTGAGAAACCAGTTTTCACGTGTTTCTGTCGTCGCAATTAAAACTGAATGTTAATAGTTATGTATTCTTGAGCTGCGGTTTCACGAATGCAAACGAATCAACAAGCCAATAATAATTATCCTCGGAGCGGCTTGTGAAGACTCGTCATCGATTGACCAATGACTGGCAGGATTCGCCCTTGTGGTAAATTGCTTTAGAAAAACTCCTCTTGTGCCTCCTCGCATTGATTTTCAAGGGACAATGGGGAAGTCAATAACAAATCTAAGGTTTCACCACCACTGATTTAAACGGAGGCCGATCCACATAAAGAGGAGTTTCATTCTAACCTTGCACAGACGAGCTTAAATCTTTGCAAGGTCAGTTATTGTTGCAGAGTATCAGTCTAGAAAAAAAAAAAAAGCATCTGAGGATCGACTGAGCTCGGCCGATCGGAGGACGACGAGAGTCAGAGCGGCACGTTGAAGACAGCGGGTGACTCGCTCAGGCCTCAAACAACAACGAGGTGAAGCAGTGTCAGCGTCATAGACTCAGAGCACAATCCTCCGCCACATCCATGGTTAGTTACTCCTGCAGAAGCCACAAGTTTTAATGACGATATCAACTGTGTTACAAGAAGTACTACTCACTCACTACCCACAATCCTCTGTACCGATGTCTCTGATTGGTGCAGCTCACCGTTACCGTGGAAATGTTTACCACAACTAAGAAAACCACGACATAAAAGTAAATACGACATAAGTACAAGAAACAAACTGCAATGTAACGCGGCACCATATTAACAAGGGAACATTTGCAATGGTTTGTGGGATGCCTAGTTACTTTACACTCGCATCTCTCGGTTTGGGGGGAGGGGAATGAAGTACCTGGCTTCCTTTGTCTATGTTTGTGATGCAACACTCACACGTGCACAGTCCTGATGCATGTACACACACAAACAAGCATCCACCCCCAACACTCACACACTCACACACCCTTTGAATTCCCCGTGCGTCGGCCTTAAGAGGAGTTCTGTTGCCGGGTAATGAAGAGGAGGGAGGCGGCGAGGCAGGTGCTGCTGCCGGGGAACACTGGGCCACTTGTGACTCCTTTGACCGTCTCTCCAGCGCTCGACCATCTCTCTCCGTCGCCGCCTCCTCCTCCAGACATCCCCCGCTCCACATTCACTCCATCTCCCACCGTGTCACCCTCATCATCACAAACAGGCCTCTCCTCCCGATCCTACCTTCGGCCTCTCGTTTGCTTCATTCATTACAACAGGATTATTTCAGAGGTTTCAAATCAAACTGAACTCACTGTGGACAGCGTCCCGCCCTCAAGGATCAAGGGATCTGAAACAAAAGGAATTAAAGGTGATCAAACTCCCACTTGGATCAAAAGTAAAGCTCGTGTTACTGCGCTCGGATAAACGACAACAAAAACTAGAGGGTGTGTAAACTTGAATAAATACCAACACACAGGCCTTTGTGTGTCTCATTCACTTAAATATGACATATTTTTAATTTCCCACAATGACTTTTCCCACCACATCTGTCCAGCTGGTAATGATACACACCATGCACGACTCACATGTACATCATGGACGATACAGTACGCAGCTCGCTCTCTCCTGCACCCCGAGGCTGTGAAGAGACAGACGAGGGCCGTTAAAAACTTTATGGATGTTTTTTGTCTCAGTGTGCTGAAGGGCCCGAGGGCCGGTACAGAACTGTGGGGGAACTGTAATGATTCCCTCCTAGACTCGTTCACACACTCACACTCACACACACACACACACACACAGTATTTGCATCCACCACCATCGTGAATTTTACGAGGGGAAGTAAATGGAGCAGATGCCGTTTCCTATAAGACTCGTTTTATTGCAGTAATATTGTACTGATGTGAAAGTTCTGTCACAAAGTGTAGTCGTACACATTCACTTAAGTACGTAAACTGAAACACTGGAGCTATATAGTGGCTGCACAGATATACCTGCCAATCAAAMACACACACACACAATTCTTCTTTTCAAATAACATACATGTGATGTCTCTCGTCCTCGTGTCGCTCTCGTGTTTTTCTTCTGGTGTTAAACGGTGTATTTTGTAGTTTTTCCTCACTCTTGGTTGAATATGGGCCGAACAGATCATTTGGTCTTTGATTTATTTTGTGTTCGGATTCATTATTAGTTCATGTCGAGTTTGTTTATTTGCAGTCGCTCTAATTCTCATTTTTGTTTTATTACCGGTGAGGACACTTCCTCTGCAGAAGTCTTCTGGTCAGGTTTCGGCAAAAGGAAGTGCAACAGGAAGCAATGGTCCTAAATACAGGAAGTGCAACAGGAAGCAATGGTCCTAAATACAGGAAGTGCAACAGGAAGCAGGACCAAGTGCTCGTCAAATCACAGGGGGGGGCTGGAGTTATTTAGTTTGGATGGTTTTTGCACATATCATCAGATTTAAGTTTGATATTTAGATATTTGATTAATGTGATAAATTCATGATAATTAAATATTTTAAAACATCAGGATTGGTCAACAGAAGTATGACATCACCATTTTCAGCCATTAACACCAAGAAGAGCACAGACAAAAGCACCAATTCAAAAATCATAGCAACAACTAAAATTGATTTTTATGTTATTTGCTCAAATTACAATTATAACATTATTTGAAAAAAAATAAAAAAAATCGAAGGACAAAGCTACAATAAAACTTTAGAATTCGTGGCGCGCTGCTCAATGAATGAATTCCTCCCACGGCCCATCAGCCAATTCAAAGATCGTTGTATTTGTTGTGTGTATTAGCACACGCGTGTTGACTCTCAGAGATGTGAAGGTCGTGTTCCATTCAGCAAAGACGTCAGCGTGACACACAGGAAGACGAGCACGACGGTGAACGCTGCTCCCTGAGCCTGGAGGCCGGCTCACAGCGACGAGAATCAAACCCCCCTCTCAT